ATAATTAGTTTCCCTTCATATATAGTAACACTTTCTAAATATAGTCATAGTAATTATACCACCACATTCCCTAACTGTAGATTAAGGTCACCTGTGTGGATATGCGCTAGCAGTCTCATACGAAGGAGGGCCTCTCCATACTTCATTTGAGGCTGAGTGGAGTAAGCTGGCTGGCTGGGGTAAGGAGCTGGGGGAGGTTGAGTGGGGTAATATGGCTGCTGTGCGGGGTAAGCCGTCGGAGTAGCCGAGAACGACGTGTTCGGTCGAGGAGACCACGGTCGTGGCTCCACCTCCTATTGGTGTGGTACCAACGATACGAGTCCGCACCAAACGCTGCCGTCTCCTGTTTGACCAGTACACAGTCACCACCACGCACACTGGCACACCGACAATGATGAGTATGAAGCAGATCGCAACCGACAGACCCACTGCTAGTCCAACATTGACTGCAAAACAAAGGACACTTAACACAATAATTGCTTGCAAATCAAAGGGATGTGTCAGTAAGGGCTAAATTTAGAAATGTTTCTAAAGATAGAACAAATCAATAGGGGCACAGGGAAAGAATGCAATTAAGTTCCGCTTTTACTAACGTTTCTAAATTTAGCCTGTATATATACTGCCACATTCCCTCAAATGTGCAAAAGTAGTGCACCCAATTGTAATTCTTTTGTGCAGAATGCACAGACGAGATGACTTTAGTCCAGGATGCACACACCCTGCAATGGTTGGGTGCTGTGTGGCCTTTTCAAAACCAAAGCAAGGACGGGCAGCTCTTATGGGGACCAAGCTACACTTGTATAATGGCAGGGTTTGCCCCCTTTGCTCCGCCACCCCAGCAAAAGAATGTTGCAGAAAGGCTGCTATGAATACCACACATGCGTGGTCTTGCAGTTTTACATGTGGGTACATACATACTATTGATATCCACATGCAAGTTTACACGGGCAAGGCCACACCATTCACTGAGTAGGCAGAGTAATAAATGCACAGAATGTTGTTAAGACATACATGTACCACATCCCTCTTCGTCACTGTTGTCTCCACAATCGTCATAGTCGTCACACCTGTAGCTGTCAGGTACGCACTGTCCGTTGTCACACTCAAAGTCATAGCTGCTGTAGCAGTAGCTAGGGTATGTTGAATATGTCGTTGGATATGTCGTCGGATATGTCGTTGAATCATCTGTGCCTGAATAGAAAAAATTGGGTGCATATGTACTATTATGTAAGATTCAAGCAAGTCAATAGTATTTGCCAGGGACGTCAAACTGGCGCTATGGTGCTAAAAATAGGGCCACATACACCTGAGCAGTGCCAAGCATAATTTCGGCGCTTAGCATTACACACAGCGCAAAAGCGAGCGCACCCACATATATATATATAGCGCATTGCAAGCTGCAACTTGCAGAGCTGAATTATTACAGTGTTGTATACTGCACTGATCATTGTACAATATACTTCTTGGAATGCGTGGTTGGCGCCGAAAGAGCCTCTAGCGGCGAAATCCTGGCACCAAGCTATTTCTCTCTCGACACCCCTGATTTGCTATTATCCCAGCAGCTTAGTAAGCATGAAATTACGTATAATATTCATAAAGTATAGGTAATGGGGATTTGGGTGTGGCTCTGTTTAGCACGGGCCATGAATGCCAAACTTTGTACAATTAGGCAGCCTGCGTGTACTCATTAGTTTAGCTGCATACATGTAGTTCTCTTACCACTATAGACGTCATAAATGATAGCACTTGAGGTAGAGGAGAAACTGCAGCCAATATCATTGGAATAAGCTCCGCTGCGACTGTGCTCCTCGTAAAGAACACTAGAGTAAGCCCAGCCAATCTCGGCTCCACCCCACCCCATCCCTCCACACTGGTAGATGAACACGGCATAGGAGTCATAGCCGTCGGTGATCAGAACTGCTTGGAAGGTGCTGGTGGCAAACTGTTGGAAAATGTTTATATTAAAAACTGAAGACCTGTATTAGTGATGTAATTGCATCATTTTAACCAGAGCTTTCTCATAGAATATCATAAAAGCCGCACAATTCAACTTTGTTATGTGAGACAAAGTTGCATGCCGAGGTCTTAAGTCTGGGTTAAACTTGTTATTTTTGGGGAAAAATATATCATATCTTATTCATACTACCTTTCATAGGAAATGATATTGAGCATGGGGGGCATTTCGTCCTAAGGACTTCCAAAAACATAAGGGGCAATGGTCATTGACTTAAGGTGGAGTCAGGTACGTAAATTGCAACAGATTGCTCCTGGTATTTAATTAACTCACAGAGCTTCCACCGAGCTTGGCCACTCCATCCCATTCCACCACCATCATTCTGGTTCCGGTGAAAGAGTAGTCTTCGGTGTTAGAGCGAATGAATTCACTGACAGAGTACATCTGAGGATGGTTACTCGTGAATCCAGTGTATCTCACCGTCCCAGCTATCCTCGTGTTAATATCGGCTCCGTACGGAGAGATTACGGAGTTCGAACCAGGTATACTTGGCGAGGTGCCACCATCATTCGTCCCCAACGAAATGAATCCATTCGTATTAACCTAAGTGCAATCATATAATATACAGGAAGCTCACGAGGCAAATAAAGTGGCTAACACACTGTTTATGGCACTATGAAACACTATGAGCATGTTGGACAGTAGACTACCAATGAGACTAGGCAAAAACTATGCTGAACTGTAGGGGCTTTGTGCACTTATAATGTATCTGCATTTTGCAGTATTTACACACGTACGTAGATGCTGTAGTAGACGGTATTTCCAAATCTAAAGCCGCTACCAATATATTCATAACGGGTGACATCATCCTGCCTTGGTAGAGTAGAATACGAGACGTCAGTCACATCCAGCATAGCAAGGGTCCCTGGATGGGTAAGCAAACTTAGTATACACAATATTACTTTAACTCATGAATACTCCCTGTGTGTTATACGTAGACTAGAACCATATCAGGAAACTGGTCCTGTGCACCTCACATGACTGGCTAAGGTATGCACATTCCTTCATTCTCAGTCCATTACACAATGACATACTATCAAGTACTGGAGTTATGGTTTTCCTCCCAAACGTGTTTCTATTATAGCTGTACTATAGATAGGTATACATTAGGAAAATTTGCTAGCTATGGGATAATAGAGACCCCAAACTCATACGATGTGCACAGCACTTGTCAAGAAACCGCCTGTGTAACCGCCAATTACATAGCTAGAGAGGCTAAACCACTTTGGGAGGAAAGCATCGTGCACTGCAAGCACGCGTGATGGCGAGAAGAGCACGGACATGGCAAGAGATTGAGAAGAACGCTCTTTTGAATTACGATGTAGTCATCGATTACGGTCCATAACCAAAGTCGAACATAGACCGTAGACGACGTAGCTAGCTAGCTAGTCATCAACGGTCGAACGTAAGACTCACCAGAGCCTTCAAGGGCAGTGGACACCTGGAGATGACAGAGGAGAAGGCCGATCAGCACCAGCATGCTCGCCGCTACCCAAGTCTTCATTGTACGAAGTAGAAGCTGGGAAGGTCCGGGGGCGTCTACTGGGCTGTATAAACCGAAGCAGCTGTATGTGGTTGCTGACTGGCCAGCGATGTGGCTGCACGTGGCAACCCCGCAGCGCAGAGAGAGAGAGAGGGGCCCGGGGGACGAGAGTGTTATTACTGGTGTTCCAAGTGCGCATGCGCACGCGGTAGCATGCAAAATAATACTCATACGCATTGTCAATGCAATACTTTTGCTTTACATCTGAGAGTCCCGAGGAGAGTCCTGTGGGAGTGGAGCCACAGTCGGTGGGGGCGGATGGCCAGTCACCGGCGGGAGAGACTGCAACATACAAGATTCTAGCTATCTGAGTATATATGAGTGATAGCTAGCTACATTTAGATGGAGCATAATAAAGGTGCTGAATTAGTCTGACAGTAAACATAATAATATTGAAAAAGGATGCACATAGATTCTATAATCACATGCAGCGACTGTGATGCCGACAATCCATACACTATAATAATATACCATTGCAAGTTACCATTTTGGGTGAAGTCGAGAACGCTAAAACCAGAAAAGCTGCAAAGGTTTTTCACAGTGCTATATATAATAGAAGGCAAGGATATTCAGAAGAAAACATCACTTTATGGGCTTTGTACGGATAATAACAGAACAAAATGCATCATGTGATAAACTATTGGAGACATGACAAAGTCAACTACGAGTGTAACAAAAGTCTTGAAGAGTTGCTAACTGTATTTGCAGCAGCACCATTGACTCATGTTTGTGGAAGAGTAGGATCCTGGGGCGGGGGAGGGTTGCCCTGGATCGGATACGGGACATCAACAGGATACCCCGGCTGGGGCTGAGGAGGGTAGGGTTGAGGAGGATAGGCAGCCACTGGATTAGGCTGGAACTGGGGATACCCCTGCAATCAAAATTGTATAGACATTGGAACACAAATTGTGTGTTAAGAAAAGTGAAGAAAATGTCCCATCACAAAACTTTTCTCAGAATGTGGCAGTGCATTAGGACTATAGAGCCCAGTGAAAGAATAATTAGTTTCCCTTCATATATAGTAACACTTTCTAAATATAGTCATAGTAATTATACCACCACATTCCCTAACTGTAGATTAAGGTCACCTGTGGTGGATATGCGCTAGCAGTCTCATACGAAGGAGGGGCCTCTCCATACTTCTTTTGAGGCTGAGTGGAGTAAGCTGGCTGGCTGGGGTAAGGAGCTGGGGGAGGTTGAGCGGGGTAATATGGCTGCTGTGCGGGGTAAGCCGTCGGAGTAGCCGAGAACGACGTGTTTCCGGTCGAGGAGACCACGGTCGTGGCTCCACCGCCTATTGGTGTGGTACCAACGATACGAGTCCGCACCAAACGCTGCCGTCTCCTGTTTGACCAGTACACAGTCACCACCACGCACACTGGCACACCGACAATGATGAGTATGAAGCAGATCGCAACCGACAGACCCACTGCTAGTCCAACATTGACTGCAAAACAAAGGCACTTAACACAATATCATTGCTGCAAATCTAAATGGAATGTGTCAGTAAGGGCTAAATTTAGAAATGTTTCTAAAGATAGAACAAATCAATAGGGGCACAGGGAAAGAATGCAATTAATTTCCGCTTTTACTAACGTTTCTAAATTTAGCCTTTATACTGCCACATTCCCTCAAATGTGCAAAAGTAGTGCACCCAATTGTAATTCTTTTGTGCAGAATGCACAGACGAGATGACTTTAGTCCAGGATGCACACACCCTGCAATGGTTGGGTGCTGTGTGGCCTTCTCAAAACTAAAGCAAGGACGAGCAGCTCTTATGGGGACCAAGTTACACTTGTATAATGCAGGGTTTGCCCCCTTTGCTCCGCCACCCCAGCAAAGGATGAAAGACTGCTATGAATACCACACATGTCATTATCACATGTGGGTACATACATACTATTGATATCCACATGCAAGTTGACACGGGCAAGGCCACACCATTCACTGAGTAGGCAGAGTAATAAATGCACAGAATGGTGTTAAGACATACCACATCCCTCTTCGTCACTGTTGTCTCCACAATCGTCATAGTCGTCACACCTGTAGCTGTCAGGTACGCAGTCTCCGTTGTCACACTCAAAGTCAGAGCTGTAGCAGTAGGTCGGATATGTCGTTGGATCATCTGTGCCCGAAGGTAAAAATTGGGTGCATATGTATAATAATCGTGCTTAAGTCGATAGTATTTGCTATTATCTCAGCAGCTCGCTTGGTATGCATGAAGTTACGTATATATTCATAAGCTATAGGTAATGGGGATTTGGGTGTGACTCTGTTTAGCACGGGCCATGAATGCCAGACTTTGTACAATTAGGCAGCTTTTGTGTACACATTAGTTTAGCTGCATACATGTAGTTCTCTTACCACTATAGACGTCATAAATGATAGCACTTGAGGTAGAGGAGTAAGTGCAGCCAATATCGTAGGAATAATAAGCTTCACTGAGATAGTGCTCCTCGTAAAGGTTTCTGGAGTAACTCCAGCCAATGGTAGCTCCACCCCACTCCATCCCTCCACACTGGTAGATGAACACGGCATAAGAGTCATAGTCGTCAGTGATCAGAACTGCTTGGAAGGTACTGGTGTCAAACTGCGGGAAAATGTTAATATTCAAAACTGAAGACCTGTATTAGTGATGCAATTGCATCATTTTTAATCAGAGCTTTCTCATAGAATATCATAAAAGCCACACAATTCAACTTTGTTATGTGAGACATCATGCCGAGGCCTTAAGGGGTTGCCTGGGTTAAACTTGTTATTATTTTTCTTATTCATACTACCTTTCAAGTAAATGATAATGATATTGAGCATGTGGGGCATTTCGTCCTAAGGGACTTCCAAAAATCATAAGGGGGGGAGTGGTCATTGACTTCGGAGGAGTCAGGTACGTAAATTGCCAACAGATTGCTCCTGGTATTTAATTAACTCACAGAGCTTCCACCGTACTTGGCCACTCCATCCCATTCCACCACCATCATTCTGGTTCCGGTGAAAGAGTCGTCTCGGTGTTAGAGCGAATGAATTCACTGACAGAGTACATCTGAGGATGGTAACTCGTGAATCCGTTGGTGTATCTCACCGTCCCAGCTATACTTGTGTCAATATCGGCTCCATACGGAGAGATTACAGAGTTCGAACCAGGTATACTTGGCGAGGTGCCATCATCATTCGTCCCCAACGAAATGATCCATTCGTATTAACCTACGTGCAATCATAGTACGCAGGAAGCTCAAGAGGAAAATAAAGTGGCTAACACACTGTTTATGGCACTATGAAACACTATGAGCATGTTGGACAGTAGACTACCAATGAGACTAGGCAAAAACTATGCTGAACTGTAGGGGCTTTGTTGCACTTATAATGTATCTGCATTTTGCAGTATTTACACACGTACGTAGATGCTGTAGTAGACGGTATTTCCAAATCTAAAGCCGCTACTGTATATATTTGTCCACTGGTGACATCATCCTGCCTTGGTAGAGTAGAATACGAGATGTCAGTCACATCCAGCTTAGGCAAGGGTACCTGGATCAGTAAGCAAACTTATTACTCTAACTCATGAATACTCCATGTGTATTATAGTAGACTAGATCTAGAATCATATCAGGAAACTTGTCCTGTGTACTTTACACCTACCTGTCAACAGAGCTCACATGACTGGCCAAGGTATGCACATTCCTTAATTCATTCTCCTCAATGTATTCAATTACACCATGACATACTACAAGTATGGAGTTACGGTTTTCCTCCCAAACGTGTTTCTAT